ACAAGGCTCATCACAATTGGACAATAACAGTTTAGAATAAATGCTGGTTATGGTATGATAAGTCTTGTTTTCAACTGCAACATTTACATGGTAGAAGCAGAAATAACGTAAAAGAACCAATATAAAACGTGAACGAGACAAATCTACAGCAACTGCCTGTTTAAAATTTATTAATTTTCTGAGACATTGTTGAACGTAAAGCCTCTTTCAGATCATAGTTTGGAACCCCACATTATGAACCTGTTTTTTTTTGGGGGGGTTTTTTTCACAACACACTGATCATTGTGCAGAGATCCTGATCCCTGTGTGCTTTCAGAGCATACAGCCGAGACTACTAAACCAGATGGGTGTAGCTTTGCTACTTGCAGCATTCACTTTGGCAGTAAGGGTAGGACATGTGGGAGGAATTTCCCCACAGGGCAAAGCTCTGTTTACTGATCCTTATGAAGGCTGTCCAATTGCATTTTGTGATTTAATTACAAGAAGTTGTTGCACATCATCCTCAACATGTTTTTATCTGCATAATATTCTGCAGATTAAAGTACTTCTCGGACTCCCGTTGCTACTGAAACAGTCTTTTGTATCGTAGCGTCATGTTGCACTTCGTTCTTCTATTCCACATCAACCCTTATCAATCAATCAAACTTTTTGTAAAGCACATTTCAGCATCACATTAGTTCAAAGTGCTTTACATCATAAAAAAAAGACATCATAAACACATCATATAATCAACAGTTGTTAAAGCCAATAACAGACATTATACTTTGTCAAGTGCTGTCATTAAAAACATCAGTAGACATCAAATATTTTGGTCAATGTTCCATTTAGTGTGGTTAAAAAACAACTCTAAACAGGTGGGTTCGCAGTCTTGATTTAACTGAACTTTGTGTTCAGTTAAACTGGTAGTTTTGTAACTCCAGATATTTGGTGCATAGCAGCTGAATGCTGCTTCTCTCTGTTTAGTTCTGGTTCTGGTTCTAGGGATGCGGAGCAGGCCAGAACCAGAAGACCTGATACAACAGCAAATCTTTCAACAATTCAGTTGAAGAGCTAACAGAAGTATTTTTTTAAAATCTATTCTCTAAGCTATATGGAGTCAGTGTAAGTCAGTGTAAGCCAGTTCAAAGTGGTTTGTGACACAATCGGGGAAACACTATTGGCGGATTGGCTTCGATCCTCCATTCTGAGTTGCAGTTGCTTAAAAGAAATAAAGCACATGTGTAAATCACAGATTGCAAGGATGATCTGAAACGGCTTATTTAACAATGAAAGTTACAGTTTAAAAGCAGGATGTCTGTTCATTAGTAGATTGCAGGCTGGCTACCCAAGATTCTACTAATTAACCAAATATATATTAACTTATACTTTTCAAAGTCTAATAAAACCAAAATGGAAAAAAAAAAAAAAAAAAAAAAAAAAAGATGTGATTATAATTAAATAATGCCAGAATAATCAATTTAGCAATTGATTATTCTGTAGTTTGTTTAAAATAATAAACTGCGTTGTGCTATACTTTCTATTTAGAATTCTTGTATAAATACTTAAAAATGGCTGTATCTCTGCACAAATTATGAGACGGGAATCATGAGGTGAGTTTAAGTAAAAGCTCAAATATAAACGAATTAAACAATGACTCGATCAAATTGGGAGCAGATAGGACTATACAAATTTATAGAATAAACTTGCAGTATATAAATAAAAGCTGCTTATTTGTGTTCTTACGTATTTAGGGATGAACAGTTTGCCTGTGTTGTATATAAATGATGCATTAAAATAGATTTTTATACTCATTTGTCATGTTTTCTGCCGTTTGTTTACTGTCCTCATGTCCATCCAGTTAAAATGCCAATACATGGCAGATTTGTACATTGTATCACATTAAGTCAAAGAAGGTTTTAGGCCTTTTTTTTAAATAGGATTTTTATTTATTTATTTATTTAATTTTTACTGCTTAAATATTTGTGGTCTATAAGCTTTTCCTGTGTATTTTTCTCTGATTCAAAGAGTAAATTGTCACTCCATTGCTATGCGCCATTTCATTCTGGATTTATTCTGCTGTAATTAAACCCAAGCAAATTAAAAACACATTCGAAACCACAGCTAATGAAGAGACGGGGGTTCCAAAGATGTCTCCAGTGTGATTCAGTCTAGCAATTGTAAAGAGAAAACAGAATCCTAAAATAAACAAACTACCACGCTGCGAACTGTGCAGTACGCTTGCTCGAATGACACACACACACACACACACAAACCTGCTAAGGGCACAGCTAAAAACATACAAGTTATTATACAATCGTTAGAAGATTAATACCCCTTGGGAGGCTAAAAAGGCTCAGGCTGACTTTCATCTCAAACCTGCCCCAACAGAGAGAGCTGAGGTTAGAGAGACAGGGTTGAAAGAAGTAAGCAGACTGTCAGAAGACACAGATCGTCTTCAAACACAGTGAAGTGGTATGTGTGTGTTTGTGTGCGCACAAGTTTGTGTGTTCATCACTTTAACCCCATAATGAGTAGCCTTGAGGGGGGTCCATAGCCATTTGGCAGCTCTTCATTTCCTGATTTAAGAAAAAACAAAACATAATCAAGTCTTTTATCTCTTCAGCAGTGACACAAAAATACATACACAGGCACACACTCACACAGTACATACCGGTTGTGGTCTTACCACAAGGTTTTGCACAATTAAGCTTATTTTGCCCTCAGAAGTGAATGCTGCTTGCATGTACAGTCAGACTATGTATTAATATGTGTGTGCTTGAGTTTGTGTGTGTGTGTGTGTGTGTGTGTTTAAGACACAAAAGGGAGGAAGCCGCAATTATTTCCAATCTGAGGTCAAAATCTGTCTGTCTGGCTCCAGACCTCGGATTTCACTCTTCCATGTCGGAAACTTCAGATCTTCTCTGATGGCTAATTCTCCAGCTCTCGTGGTTTGATCTTGCTTAATTGCGGCACACACACACACACACACACACACATCCACACATGCACACGCACATGTTCAACACAACTTGGGATGGATTTAGAGTTGCACTGTCGATGTGAGATAATTTTACCTAACGATACATCCATAAAACTATTGACGGTTTTATACCATTATATCAGCCTTTGTAAACCCAGATGTTCTGACTATAGCTGAAAAATATTACTTTTTCTTGATGGTTAGGAAGAGGTTGTATAGCTTTCCCAAACATACATACCATCAACATAACACACTAAGCTAGATACTTTGACACTTAAAAAGCTGTCATGGAACAATGTGATTTGAATTTAGTGAGAGATCTCAAACCTCATCTTACTTCTAAAAACATTTCACTGGAACCTTTCAAACTAAAATACTATAGTAGTGTAATTTTCCCCAGTAGAATTGCACAATTAGGGTATCATCATTTATTTTAATATGCTTTATAAAAATTGGATTAGAGATTTTTATTAAAAAACAAAAACAAAAAACAGATTGTATGAGAAAATTAGATGAACTCAACTGGGGTTTAAAACTGCACTCTACGCCATAGCCAGCAGGGGGCAACACGTTGCAAACATTTTGTTTTATTTCCTGCAAGTCAATGAGAAATAAGTCATAATATCAATTTATGCACAGTTGCAATATGCCAATAATGTAATTTCCTTAATGCTTGGATAAACTTAATGAGCTCTCAGTGGTGCACAGGTGTACAGTGCCTTATATAGCAGTTGTTCAGATTATTTTGAAGTGGGTTTTGTTGAGAGGTTATGACCAGGCTATAGCATACACAACATGCGTTGCACTATATGGAAAACAGTTGAAGTTCATCTGGAGCAATCCAGCTCACTGGGAGAAATCCCAGACAGCGCACTGAAGGGAGATGAGAATCAAGTGGAATTGAGTAGGAAGGCAATAGTCAGGCTACTATTTAATGTACCTTTACATGATCTTAATGTTTGCATTTGACAGATCTTGATATGTTCCACACTGTGAGCCCTTGCCAGCCTTTTAGATGTTCCGGCAGAGAGGATTAGACAGTTAATTAAAATTACGAGTAATTAAAAAAACGAGTCAGATTTATTTCTGAAAGCAAATCTGAATGGGTTTTTTGTCATGAAAAAAATAGTGTTTCATCTTAAATACCGTCTATGTCTGTTTGGTTACCTCCGTTATCACCTACCTGTGTATTGACTCATGCTAATAATTTTACCCAATTGCCAACGTTTGCCCGTCTGTTATGTGCCAGTTTGACGCTATGGAGCTTGCCGGAAATTGCCTGTGCTGTAAACAACCATCCTCCACTGCTAAGGGAGGTGGCTGTTAATGTTAATTCAATATTTGGAAGTGTGGCCAACATGGACAGAACTGCTTTGTTCACTTCCTCTGCTGCCATTGCTAAAACTGCAGGCAGACTCCAACTCCAAAACAGCGCAGAAACCGTCAACACCATCGTCTACAACTTCTCCTTCTGGGATGAAAGACCAGAGATAATCTGTAAACAAGCAAAATTGCACAGGAAGGCAATGCTAATGATTACATCACTGTTATGTCACAATTTATTATGTAGATTAAAAATAGATTTCAAGCAACACATTTTTTTTTTTAATATGCATATCTAAAAATAGACATTCATAACCAAGGTCAACCATGTAACATATTGTTGACTAATCTGGTATTTTTAAATGCTGCTAAATGACATGACCTACATTTATAGTTACGTATACCAAAGATTGGCCAGAGGTGATATTTGCTCATAGTTATGACTACTCAGAAGTATGCCATAGGTTGTTCTACTGCTATTACTGCAGTGACGTGATGCTAGTGTGCTAGTGAGCCGTTCACTGCATTTGGCCACACACATGCACAACATTCCCGCTGACAACGCTACTGTCGGCTGCGATGTTTCAATTCATGACTTCACTGATTGATAATAGCAGTTAAAGTGCAGGAAGCTGCAGGCGGAAAAAAAAGTTCATTAAAAGTTTATGAAGAAAAATGAGCATTTGCTGTCATTTCATGCATTTCTCTTGTCTTTCAGGGATTAGACACAAAATGTCACAGAGCAGAGGTCAGAAGAAGTTTGTTTTCCTCTCGTTAATATTGGTAAGTTTGTTTCCCTCCCCCAGCACTTGAACGTGCATTTACTCACCTTTCCTACTCCTCCCACTGTTATTCTTGTATCCTGTGCTCTGATGTTCACTCCCACCTTACATTCTCCTCTTGCCTTGTCAGGCTTTGGGCGGTAGAAACGCTTGTTTGATCATACTTAGTTGATTCCACAGTTAGCACTTTATCGTCCAGACTTTGTGGCATTTTTGCTCCAACAACATGCATAACTCTTAGACACTTGTAGCAATTATTTAATCCTTGACTTTTGTAAGGAGCAACTGTCTTTAAATTCTTTGATGCTCTACTTGTTTTAGTGTTGAAATCCATTGGCAGGACTCCCAACAGGCCCCTTGGATTCACACACTCCCTTCTTCCCTGCTCTAGTATCCTCTTGTTTGCAGAAAAACACCATAAAGTCTGAACCACAGGATGTGTTACTTATGTACAGAAATATAGTTTGTTTTTGTTGCCTAAATGAATATGTTCCAGAACTTCTGACATGTGCAAAGATGAGAAGAAGACAGAAATGTCCAACTTTGAGAAAGTTTGAAAAAGAAGTTTAGACAGGTAAAAGAAAGCAATGTATGCAAAGAGACTTCCAGCAACAGCTTGCTAAATTCTAAAACGACCCTACATGGTGTTAAAATGGCAGAAAATACTAATGGGATTAATATTAGAGAATGTGTTAGCAGCCCTTGCTTTTGGTAAGTCTTCACTCTCTTCAAAATGAAGTAAAGCATAAAAAAATGAATAAAGCATTATAAACCCCCACACATTTTATTGCAATAGAAAGTACAAATTATGAAATACATTTTTAGGCTAAGTTAATGCAACAAACATTGCAACAAACATGTAGTGTTAAGCAATTGGTTGTTATTGTAGCAGTTGTTTTAGCATACGTATGTTGTTCTAGAAAGAAGACATTGCAGTGAGATTATAGTAACCTCATTCCAAAAGGCAACATTTTTTAGCCTCCACTACTGCTTTTCCTTTTGCTATAATTGGTATTTATCATAATATTTGTCCTGAGAGAGATTATAATAGACTAAAAAAAAAAAAATAATGAGAGGAGATTCAGCTTTCCTAAACCTTGGCTCTAGATTAAGTAGTGGCTGGCAGCCTCAGTTGTGTTGCGATCAAATCAGGCTTAGATCTAATTTACAACAAAAAGTGGGAAAAGTTAAATTCATTCTTTCTTCTTTTGCTTTGACATGGTTTGCTTTCTACTTTCTAGCTCTTTTTACATGTCACAATTATCAGATTTTATCACAGTTTATAGACAGAGACTTCTGGAGAGACGAGATACGTTCATCCAGCTGCAATCTGCTGCAGCGCCACCAGATGCCACCAATTCTCACTTTATTGTTTCATTGCTCGTGAAGCTGTATTTACACCAACTGCACTCCAGGCATGTAAACAATGGGTCAATCTGTTCTGGATTTGGTTTATATTATTATCAGGTTATCTGGCCAGAGAGGAATGGGCTCATATACATAAATGAGCACTTGTTCAAACAGGTCTTCAGCTCACTGTCAGGATATGGTTGGGAGGAACAGCCGAGAAAGAGGGAGATGTTATTAAAACAACAGAGAAAAAGACGGAGAGTCTTAGTCATGGACTCATTTATTTTCCCTCTATCATTTTTTTGGACAGCGGATGATTGTTAAAAGTCAGTTAGTTTGTTTGGAAAAGGACAAAGTATGCTGGAAAAGCTATAAATACCAGCTGCTACTTATTACATTGAGCCACAATGACACAATACCACACGTCTCACACACACACACACACACTTTCTGTCACATTTCCATTACTGCAGGGGACATTTCATTAACTTAAATTTTCCGAAAATGTACCCCAACTCTAACCAAAGCCACAACTTGCATAAACCTATTGTGACCACAACCTTAACCCCAGAACCCAACCTTTATCATCCTATCTTCACAAGGCAGTTAACGATTATTGTTTTTGGGGACGTTTTGCCTCCAAATGTTATATTATTCCCACCATACGACAGCGTGAAAACATCCATTTCTCCGTGATGAGACCCCACAAAGTGTGTTCACACACAAAAAAATGATGCTATTGCGCAATCTTGTCATATAGAAGTCACAAAGCAGACATTTAAATTGATATTTACAAAAGTAAATATCACATCGGATATCATTTTATTGTTTTTTATTTTCTTTGCTACGCCATTTAAGTTTTTTTTTTTGTTAAAGCTCCAGTTCTACTGGATATTAAATGATTAATCCTGTGCTTTTAGTTCTGCTCATATGCCAGTCCATGTAATGTTCAGCTTATCTTAGAGAAAACTCTATACACTATTAGAGATTTTTTTATTCATGATGAAATCACCCAAAATCAAAAAAATTGTAGTTAGCATAAGATGTATCGTCATTTTATGCACAGATAAGCTTCATAATTTGAGATGCAGAACATGTGCCCTTTAATGTTGTTTCTCAGATATTAGCTATCCAAATTAAATTGGTAAATCATGCTAAAGCTCGTGAAAAATGTTTCTTTGTTATGCATATTTTTTTAAACGTTGAAATTTGAAAAAGCGAATGTGTTGCACGATATCTACAGAGAACTTCGGTATTAACCAGTGATATTACACAGTTCTCTGACTTTCTCAATGGTTATTAAACTAAAAAAAACGTGCAGTGAAGAACATGCTGATGGTTAATGCATTTATAGACCGTAGGTAGCAGGTGTTGGAAAAAAATGTGCAAAGAACTGGGATGTGCAAATAGTAGGAGTGTCAGTAAAGTTTAAAGAGAACCATAAAAAACAAACCTTTTGAGCTCAAATAAATATTTGCATAACAGAACATATGATTTAATCTTTTTTTTATTTATATAAAAAAAGTAGTGTGTTTATTCTGCTTACTAGTGCACATCAATATACAGTGAACAAGATCTAAGACCACTTTGCAAAATCAGATTCAGTTTAAGTCCAATTGATCGTAATAGTAGATAATGCCAGGTATGGACGTTCCCCATTATTCACTGACATTCAAAGTGATGTGATCACACACTTTATAACTACTTGGGCTATCTCATATTGACTTATAGCAGGTTAGCTGAGCCACTACTGAAGATCTACCAGCCTTAGGTGGTGCAGTTCCTGTCAGTTATTATTCTGTCAGTGTGACCGCATTAATAGGAATGTCTCATTTGTGTCTTCACAAGCTCTGTTTTGCAGTTTCCACATTTGTCTTCACTTACCCTGCTCTCCACCTGCCTGTCTCTGCGTCCCCCCCCCCAGGTGTCTCGTCTGTTTGTCAGCGCCGAGTACTCCAGCTGCGGAGAGTACGAGTTCTTCAACCAGACCAGCAACAGCTGCCAGGCCTGTCCTCAGTGCCAGCCAGGGCAAGAACCGCATATGGTGAGGGCATTCTCAAACACACATATATGATTTAGGGAATCATTTTCTGGCCTGCTTTTACTGTGTTCCATTTGTTTTGGGTTTTTTTTTTGTTTGTTTGTTTTTCATGTGTTTAGACTCTCCGGTTTAAACCCAAAGTATTTCCGTAAGGTGGGGACACGAAGCTGGAAAGATGATCAACATTTAAACTCATAAATACCAGAAATATGGAAATTACGACCCCAGCATTTGTCAGCTTCGCTCAGACCACCCACAATAGACACACAGATGAACACACATTCTTAGATACACAGTGAAGGGTGCTTTAATTCAAATGCACAATTTCCTTATGGTTTATTGCTCCCATTTACTCCAATGTGAAGGCATGCATTACGCTGAATGATTTGCAGTAGTCACAGAGTGATTTAGGGCTCGTCAGTCAGTCTGCAGACAGCCAAAGTAAACACAGAGCAGGTAAATGCTTCGTTGGGAACCCCAGGGTGCCACACCCTTCTTAAAGAGATAGTCAAGAGTGAACATAGAGATGTGTAATTATTTGGACACTGCAAATTTTTCATAATTTCTTTCATTTCAGATGTTTTATGTATTTGTGTCTTTACATAACACACGAATGTGCAGATATTTAAGGCTCTCTAAACTGAATCTAATGTGAGGAGGCAAGTAGCTCCAGGATGTAGGCACTTTAAAATTGTCTGGTTAAATAACCCCAAATCACTTATGGAATCATATAAATTGGGACCTAAAAAAGTGAAACTATTTAATTTGAAAAAAAAAAAAAAATGATGGAAATTTTTCAAAACTGTGCAGGCTGTCTTCCTACATAACATGCATGGCACCTTTTAAAAAAAAAAAAAAATAAAAAAGAACAGATTTATTTATCTTCTCAGAGACATCCAGTAACAAACAATGACAGGTTTGGCTCAATTTTTGCTATTATAAAAAAACATAATGTATAAATGTTCTTAATTGTGTTTGACAATTACATTGGCAGATCAGACGTATTCTCTCTCCAAAGAATTTAAATTAAAAGCATAAATGTGAAAGTAAGTTACTAAACAAGTATTATCAAAATAAACTTGAACTTGCCACATGTTAAATTTACTGTCCCCTCGAACTCCTCTTCCTCCTTGTATCCTCATGTCTCTATTGACTCCTGCTGACTAATCAAGTACTGGCACAGAAATAAACACCATCAAGTTTTATGGATGTTGAATGTTTGTAACTTAACTCATGAAGTGGTTCTCAGTTTTGCACACATCGTTTCCATACCTCAAAGTGGACTTCAGTTTTATTTTTTTGTTGGCTTTGCAACAGTGGAAAAATGTGTTGCTTTTTGAACCTCAATTTCCCTTTTCCTTCAACCATGCAGTCCTACATTAATCATGCATAAACATGTTTTTTTTGTTTGTTTTTTTTTTTTCTTCTTCCTCTTGTTTTTTTCTTGTATACTTATATTTAGTTTCCCTCAACAACGTGACGAGTTCCAACATAAAGATCCACTCGCCTCTTTGGAGAAATGTGTTAAGCAGAGAACCCTTTGATAAAGAGTAATGTAGCCATTTGTAAGTGAAATCTTCCTTTAAAAAGTTAAATCATGAGAGCCCTCCTCCTCCTCTCCCCTCACACTTTCTCCTGCGCTGTTCTGGTCCCCCGGGTGGAACAGCCTGTAATTCACATGTTCTTTTATTTCCCTGAGGTTTCCTTGCATGTGGGTGAGAGTGTGTTTTGACATGCTTTTAATCAAGAAACAACCATCCTCACAGCAGAAACTTCACAAAGAACATGCCCCCCACACCCTTAGACAGATACATCACGCAGTGACAAAGCCACTGAAGTCCCCCTTTCAAAGGGTTGCTTGCATCCACCTTTTGGTGTTTGTTTGCATGGATGAATGCATATTTCATGGCAACATGTCCTCTTATTTTAGTGAGTGACAAATGTCAGCTGACGCTCAACATCAGAGCTGCAGTACCTTTCAACGTATTTCCATTATCGTACACGTTTTGTCAAATTACAACCACAAACCTCAGTGTATTTTATTGGGCACATAGCTGTTTAGGTAGATGTTTTTTCACATTTATTTACAAACAAATATAAAAAGTTGGATCCAACGGTCCATAGTAAACACGTTTGTCGCCTGCAGTTTTGCACATCTAGAGACAATGTTGCTAATTCCACATTGCAAAATAGCTCAAGCTCAGACAGATGTGTGAATAACCTCTTTTAGGTTTTGCCCCAGATTAATTAGTTTTAGAGGCTGTTGTCCTGCAACTTTTAGCTGTCTCTCTGCTTCAGCACATCTGCCTCTAATATTAGTCCATTAGCAGAGCTTTGTAGAGCTTGACTGCATGCCAGTGAGGCAGCTTTGTCATTTAGTTCAAGTATGTGGACAAGGGACACATATAGAGCTTACTGACTCTGGCCCTCAAAGAATGCAGTTTGAGGCCACTGATCTGACCCACAGCATGACGTTTCTGCCACCTTGTTTCATCATTGGGATAATACGTTCAAGCTGATTTGAATGTATTATACCCTCTATACCCACTCATTGTCGATAAGTGGGTATAGACAATGATTTGTACATTTATCATTGTCTATACCCACTTATCCAAAGTTTACTTTTAGAAGTCTCTTCCTGTCTCCCTTGTTACCTGAAAGTTTTAGCTGCACTGCAGCTTTTCTTCAATTCCACCTGTGATCTTTCTTACAAGTTATCAGTCATTCCCCTCGTATCAATTTTATGTTATGTTCTCTCAAGGCCAACGTTGAAAACATATGTAAGAGTTTCGCAAAGGCATTTGCTTGTTGGGTTTTGTCCATCTTCCAAGCTCAAAGAAGCATTCAAAATGCCCACAAATTTGCTTTGAAAAGAAGAAGGCTTTCAATCACCCTGGAACTGCTTTAAGGCAATGAACAGGAGCAGAGTCACAGTAAGCCTGCAGACAAAAGATCCAAGTTTAGCTTTAACCCAAACCGACACAATCCTGCTGATAGCTCGGTGAACTTTTCCATTAAACAATCACGCTCAAAGTAGCGGATGTCAAACAAAAAGGGCGAGAATATTGAATTTCTTTTACAGCCACCCTACTGTAGCCTAGATCTAGGAGGCACAGGCCTGTTTAATAGACAGATGAAAGTAAGAGGGAAATTAAAGATGAAAGAGGGGGCAAAGAAGAGAGAAAGAGTATGTTTTTGTAAATGCGAGCATGTGTGATTTTGTGTGTGGGCCATCCGGCCTCCCCACGGAGAGGAAGCACCATTTGAAGAAGATGGATGCAAGAAAACAATACGATGACTTGGTCATCTTAAGCACTACCATGCATGGAAAACTGTACACACACACACACACGCACACACACACACACACACACTGAGGACCTCTGTGACCAATCAGATTTCTCTCCTGTCATCTCAGAAGAGCAAAGCCAGATTTGTGCTAAAGACAGTTCTGGAAACAGATGGGTGTTTTTAAGTGTTTACAGTGTGCAACCAAATTTGTGTGTCCACATCACAGTAATGAATAATTCCATTGATGGGAAAAGCACATTTAGAATGATGTAGGAATTCATTTTTATTACTAAATGATTTAGGATGTCTGTGTGTATTTAAAATACGGATGTGTTTTGCAGAACTGTGGTTACGGTATGAAGGATGAGGACTTTGCCTGCATACCATGCGCGCAAGGGAAATACTCCAAAGGAAAGTACGAGATCTGCAGGCGCCACAAGGACTGCGACGCTCTCTACAAAGCCACTGTCCGTGTAGCAGGAACTGCTGAAAGTGACGCTGAGTGTGGACCATGTTTACCGGGGTGAGGCATGCAAGTTGCTCTGCAGATTGCAACGATTTCGATATCTATGTGAAGTGTTTGTTGTTGTTGGGACAATCGACAAAGAGGCTCTAGGTTTAACATGAGGAAACTCACCTATCGGGCTTTTCCTGGCACATACTAATTTCCAGATTTCATTGAGTTCTGACCTTCAAAATCTGATTTAAACCTGTCTGTCGTGAGAGGACCCTAGTCAGGGTCCTCGGCGCTTGCCGCAACAAGATCGGTTGAAAACACATGCTATACATTTATCAATATAGGCATATTGCATATCCACGGATCGGGATAAAGCTCTTCTAAATGATAGAAACAATATTTTCTACCTCAAGGAAAACCCGGATTCTGATCTTTGTTCAAGTAACTGGTGCAATGCTATTTAAAAATGAGTCATCATTTCAGCTCTAAAATATATGTACCTGTAACTGTAAAGGTGAATAATAGCTTCTTACATGCATCTTTCCACTGTTAAAGAAAACAAAACGACGCCAAATGTCTGAAAAATTCACCTGGTAACATCTGGAACTACACATTTGCTTCTTGTTTTGTTTTCTTTTGCTTTTATTCCTACTCAGGCTTTAAGATTTGTGAGCTACGTGGCGTGTTATTTTCTTTCAAAAGCCTCCTGTAGATTTGCCCCATATTTTTTGTGCTCAGGTGTTTGCTGTATATCTTTCACTGTAATTTTTGTATTTTTCAAACCATTTCTTCCACCAACATTAACATTTTCAGTGCTCTGCCCGGAGCAATATATTACCCAGGCACAATCCATACACTTCTTTACTTTTCATCACATTTGAAATCTATTTTTTCTACAAAACAATCCCATTTCTAAATTGAACTTTTATGTGGCAGATTCAGTTAAAGGGAAATATGTATAATTTCTCCCATGTAGGTCCTGGTTAACCATATATTGCTTCACAGGAGACAGGTATTTTATGATCCTAACATCTGTAAAAAGTTGCTTTCCAAACCCAAAGCCAAAAGTTGTTTATGTCCTCTGCTGGTCCTGCCAGCTGTTATTTCCTTTACTGCAGATAAAATAGTGGCTAGTTGACAAACATTTTTCATAGCTTCTACTTTCTTTGCAGGGACTATATTTTATATTTTGAGTCTCTGTGAATTTGGGATTTTAAAACATGGCTAGAGAAGAACTGATACAAAAAAAATGGTACAGATTAAACCTTGGGACCTATTGTAAATATCCCCAAAAATGTGGCCTAAAGTTGCATTCATCATATCATTTGTGTGATCCTTAAGTTAAATAAAAATCTAAGAGATATCTGTGTGCAAATTGGGATCCAGATAAAATGCAGCCACAAAACCTTTAAATTATCTAAGCATAATGGTTTTAGATGGCTAATTTTGTTGCCGTTTTATTTACAATGGGTTTCAAAGAAACCTGCATGCGTAAAAGAACGTTGATATAATACAGCAGTGCGCTACTAATCATGGATGCATTTGTTTACGGATCAGTTTTAAAGTTATTCATAGCCAACAGTATTGTCACAAAAAAGAAAGAAAAAAAAAGCACAACTGACGGCAACCTCTGTAGAGAAGCTGGTTTGATCAGACCAGGAGTGATGGGATTATGATATGATGTGCTTCACTGATACAGATTTGTTGTATAATTTCATATTTATACATTTCAGCCATTGTTTTTGTCCAGATTTATAATGCATGGTATCATCAGAATTAACATGCAAACTTCACATCAATGATATTAAAGTTGGATAAAATGTGATATGAGCATTCAGACTGCAGGCACCTTGAAAACAATCAGATATGCATCAGATTTAGTACCACACTATGGAAGTGGCTCAATTTGCATTTTTGGGGGGGGTAAAAAGATCAGAATTGGGCCGTTCGGACAGCCAAGAAAAAGTCAGATATGGGTCACACATGGGCAAAAAAACAAAAACAAAACATTTAGACTGCTGTGTGAACATAGCCTTTCTTGCTCTTTGCGTCGTGGCACACTGGTGCCATCTGTAGGGCATCATTGACTCATAGTCATTTAATCACCCACTCATAAATAAAATCACTCAGTCACCTCAGAGTTTAAACTTTAAAAGCACCCTGGCATTACTTTCCTTTTCCGTGACTTGTCCTGATTAAACGCTTTAAAGAAGTTATTAACAGGATGTGCTCTGACCTGCTCGCCAACAACTAATTCAGGATGAGTTATGGCACCGATGCAAAATCGCCTGGAAATCTCAGGATTACAATTAGCGTGTTAGAGGACGCCTTACGAGTGAATTGTAGATTTGATGAGGAGGCCAACACAGATTCCATATGATTTAGATTTTTTTGTTACATTATATCCCAGAGGTATTTATACCCCTTAAACTTTTAAGATATTGCCATTCTTCCCACTTCAAATCATATTGGGGTCAGTGTGGTAAACCAACCCAAAGAAGCCCACAATTGTGAAGTAGGAAAAAAAAATACATAGTTTTCAAACACTGTCTTAACTGCAAAGCTTAAGCTTAACCGGAGAATCCCATGAGGCTCATGTTGATTATGATGCCGTAAAAATCCTTGCATAAAACCAGGATCCCATGATAATCATCTGGACTGATCTAAGAACTCTCATTTTGTTTTACTTGCAGCCTTTTACCTTTGCCCATTCTTTTTCTTTTGACAAGATTTAAAAGAAGATTTATGCATACACATGACTTTGTAAATCTGACAGACTGAAAACATATGGATTTTTCTTATTTGCATGGAGTTTTAGTTGAAAATCAGCATAGATTTTTTTTTTTTTTTTACTATTATGTGCCAAAACTTTCTTTCTGGATGACTTACATGGACTGTATCCATCTGCATGGCTCCATCATTTTCTTATGTGGAAAATTATTCCCAGAGGGACAGAAAAATTTGATTATCGGACTTCAAAGTGTCTTCATGAAAACTGGTGCGCAAAAGAAACTTGCAACTCAAGTTAAAAGTCAGGATTCCAAGTAACACAAATAGTGGGAGGGGTCCTGCCTCTAAAATTATATGGTGGTCTGTTCACTGTTTGCATATTCTACTCAATAATCAGCTGGTGAATGGTTTTGATATTGAATCTGTATCGTTAAATTTATTCAATTTCTTTTTTATCAGAATGGATGGAGAATTTGAGCTTCATGGCTGATGTACAAAGAACAAAATGCTTCAACATTCAGCATAACATTGACGGACATAACATGGATGGTTGATGAAAGCGCATTCTTTAACATCCATCTATTCTGATTAGACGGCTTCCAGATCACGTTCGGTCTGAATTCGGCCAAGAATGTCTGGTAAAAACATTAGCTGATAAGTGATTTCTGGCCTTCAGAGCTCTGACAGAGAAGTTATATTCCAGGATCATCGTGATTTACGAAAGAAAGCAGTAAAACTCACTAAATATTTGCCAATTAGGGAGAAAGATGTCTCTTATCTTGCCAACTTTATAGTTTGATAAATGTAACAGGAGACCTTGGGGATAGTTTAGGGAGAATGAAACTAACACAGCCTAATTCTCAATGCCAAAGAGATCTGGAGTGACATCAGAAGTAAAGGTCAGCCTTTTTCATGTAGAAGAAAGCCATACAGCCACTTGCAAAAACATTCTTGCCCCCAAGACATTTTTTATTTTATTTTTATTTTTTGGGGGGGGGATTTAATCTGTTGCCCTAGTGTGTATCTAGTGAATTGTACTGATTTTAACCTGTTATTCACGAGAGGACCCAAATTTGGATCCTCTCGTGACAGAGGTGTCAAACTCCAGTCCTCAAGGGCCGCTGTCCTGCAACTTTTAGATGTGCCTCTGCTGCACCACACCTGAAAAGAATAATTAGGTCATTAGCAAGGCTCAGGAGAACCGATCTACACAGGGAGGAGGTAATTAAGCCATTTCATTCCACTGTTTTTTTTTACCTGTGGCACATCTAAACACTGCAGGACAGCGGCCCTTGAGGGTCAGGAGTTTGACACCCCTGTCATTGTGAATGACAACCTGTGAACAACAGGTTAATGAAGTGGTATCAGAATAAAGGAGAGTGGGATTAAAATGTATGCAGAGTATTTTTGATTTTTCTTTGCAAATGTAATTTAAACAACCTGTATGTTGCACTGTATATTGAAATTAGCCACAGTGTGTTCTCACAGTTGGTCGATCCAAATGTTTTAAGCTGTTTTATGTTACAGGTGATCAGTTCTGATTTATTTATGTCATATTGCACTGAGATGTGGTTCTGTTATATGGTGCACCTGCAGCTAACTTCAGATTACCTTCAGGCTGTACGCCTGCTGTGTAGAAACTGAAAAGCTGTTCTCATGCCCCTGAGCATAAAATGATCCAATAATGTTCATCTGTTCGGTGTGTTAGCATCTTTCTTACCTCCCTTACTTCTTCTTTTTTCTCCTGTGCAGCATGATCTTTTTATGACTGATGGCAGTATCTGCACTAAGCCATTTTCTTAGTGCCTGCAGGGCATCAATTATGTGCACTTCTTCACAAAGTCAAATTTTTCACCTTAGTCGCTTCTCCACGCTTTTGCACTAAGTGCAGAATGTTGGGAGGTCATTTCAGCTGTGTGTACTTATTGACAGTTTTAGAAAGTTTATTTTTTCATCTTTACATTATTTTTAATGGTTAAAAAAAAAGAATAAATAAAATAAAAATAAACCGTTGATGTGATTTCATGTTTATCTTTTATAGGTATTATATGTTGGACAACAAACCCAGGAACGCTTACGGGATGGTCTGCCATTCCTGCCAAAATGCCCCGAGCAACACAAAAAAATGTAAGATTTTCCATCCTTTGCATTTTTTTCTCGATTTTTTTTTTTTTTTTTTTTTTTTTTTTTTTTAAAATTTCTTTTTTCCCTTTTTTTTTTGGGGGGATTTTTTTGCTTGAAGCCTAAAAAAAAA